GGCCGGGGGGAGGGGTGGCACTATTAATCCGGGAAGATTGTTCTTTCAGGGCTCTACCACCGCCATCGATCCCCGGCATTGAATGTGTTGGCCTAGTGTGGGGCTCCGAGGTGAGCTTGGCTGTCTGGCTGGTGTACCGGCCACCTAGCGCACCAGCAGCCACCCTGTCAGGCCTGCTGGAGGCGGTGGCCGGCTGGGCCTTGGAGTTCCCTAACCTATTGGTATTGGGGGACTTCAACATCCATGCCGATGCCACTCCCTCCTCACAGGCTCTGGACCTGGTGTCTTCCATGGCGACACTAGGGCTCTCCCAGTTTGTTTCGGGCGCCACACATCAAGCAGGCCACACGCTGGATCTGATCTTTGGCGTCGGTATAGATGTGATCATGTTTCCTTCGATGAAGGTGCCATGGTCTGATCACTACGCTCTGAAAGCCAGGATTGACGTTCCACCCCCACCCCGCTTAGGTGGTGAGCCGATTTGGGCTCGCCCGCGGAGGCTGATGGACCCTGATAGATTCCGTCAAGCCTTGCGGGACCTTTCTCCCCCTGGCGACTCATTGACTGAGCTTGTTGAGGGCTGGAATACCCAGCTCCTGGCAGCCATCAATGAGATCGCACCTAAGCGCCCTCTGCGACCCCGCAGAAACCGGGCTCCCTGGTTTACTGAGGAGCTCCGGAAAATGAAGCGGGACCTCAGACGGCTAGAGCGAGTATGGCGGGGTGCCCGTGACGGAGCCTCAAGAACATCTTATAGGGTTTTTATGAAAACCTACGAGATGGCAGTGAAGGCCACTAAGAAGTCCTACTTCTCGGCCTCCATTGCATCCGCTAGCTCTCGCCCGGCACAATTATTTAGTATAATTCGGTCTTTAACGTCCCTCGAAGGACAGCCAAATTTAAATAACAATTCGACACACAGCTGTGAGGCATTTGCGAGCTTTTTTGCGGAGAAGGTCCTGTCGCTCCGCCATGACCTCCCTGCCAATTTGGATACAATAAAGGAACTGGAGGCCCCTCGACTGTCCTCGGGTCCAGTATTGGACCACTTTGACCGGATATCCCCAGCCGATGTGGACAGACTCCTCCGAGCTGGAAAGCCCACCACTTGTCCTCTCGACCCGTGCCCGTCTTGGCTGATTAGAGCGTGTCCAGACGAGGTGCGGGCCCCCCTGGGGGATATCATCAATTTGTCCCTTGGCACCGGGACATTCCCAGGGGAACTGAAGGAGGCAGTGGTGCGTCCGCTCTTAAAGAAAACATCATTAGATCCCTTAGATCTATCCAATTACCGCCCAGTTTCGAATCTTCCATTCCTGGGTAAGGTGATTGAGAGAGCGGTTGCTGAACAGCTTGGTAGGTTTCTGGATGAAACATCGGCTCTGGATCCATTCCAGTCCGGCTTCCGCGCTGGTCATGGGACCGAGACGGCTCTGGTCGCCCTAACAGATGATCTTCGTAGACAGCTGGATCGAGGCGGGTCGGGGCTGCTGATTCTTTTAGATCTGTCAGCAGCTTTCGACATGGTTGATCACGAACTTCTGGACCACCGCCTCGCCGACGTGGGGATCCAGGGCACAGTCCTTCAATGGCTGCGCTCGTTTCTCTCTGGTCGGGGACAGAGGGTGGCGCTTGGGGGGGAACTGTCATCCCGCCACTCCTTGGTGTGTGGAGTGCCTCAGGGTGCGATTCTCTCCCCGATGCTTTTTAACATCTTTATGCGCCCCCTCGCCCAGCTTGTCCGGAGTTTTGGGCTGGGCTGCCATCAGTATGCTGATGACACCCAACTCTATCTGTTGATGGATGGCCATCCTGACTCGGCCCCAGACACACTGATCAGATGCTTGGAGGCTGTGGCTGGATGGTTACGTGGGAGCCGGTTGAAGTTAAATCCTTCGAAGACAGAGGTCCTCTGGCTGGGACGGGACGATATGGGATTGAGGGGGCAACTCCCATCTCTTGCGGGGGTGCAATTAGTGCCAGCACCGTCCGTTAAGAGTTTGGGTGTAATCTTCGATACCTCCCTCTCCATGGAGGCGCAGATTGCAGCTATAACAAAGGCGGCATTTTTTCATCTCCGCCAAGCTAAGCAGTTGGCTCCTTACCTCTCTCGCCCTGACCTAGCCACTGTGATCCACGCGACGGTCACCTCCAGACTGGATTATTGTAACTCGCTCTATGTGGGGCTGCCCTTGAGACTGACCCAGAAACTCCAGCGGGTGCAGAATGCCGCAGCGAGACTCCTTACGGGGTCTTCACTGCGGGATCACATTCATCCGGTGCTATACCAGCTGCACTGGCTCCCGGTGGAGTACAGGATCAGGTTTAAGGTGCTGGTTTTAACCTTCAAAGCCCTACACGGCCTAGGACCCTCGTATCTACGGGACCGCCTCTCCTGGTATGCCCCACAGAGGAACTTACGGTCCTCAAATAAAAACATCTTGAAGGTCCCAGGCCACAGAGAGGTTAGGCTGGCCTCAACTAGAGCCAGGGCTTTTTCGGCTGCGGCTCCAACCTGGTGGAACGCTCTGTCACAAGAGACAAGGGCCCTGCAGGACTTGACATCTTTCCGCAGGGCCTGCAAGACAGAGCTGTTCCACCAGGCCTTTGGTTAGGGCACAGCCTGACTCCCTCCTTTGGCAATCTTTACAATACTTTAGTTTATGGTTGCCATCAATTTTGATTTTAATTAATTCTTATGATGTTTTATAATGTTGCACTATTTTAGTGTTGTTAGCCGCCCTGAGCCCGGCTTCGGCTGGGGAGGGCGGGATATAAATAAAATTTATTATTATTATTATTATTATTAACAAAGGATTCTTTGTTATTTTCTGTTTATTAAGAAGTAGTATCTAATATGATTACATCAGCAAGCTAATATGTGCCAGTACTGAAGACAAAAACAAAACCTACAAAACGAGGGGAAATGAATATGCCATTTTGACTACCATGATACGAAGACTGAGCAGGGTATGCGACAGGGCAATCATTTTAGTGAAAATTATTGCCCATTAATTGGGAAAGGAAAACACATTTTGTATGTCTGTGTTGATCAGGTGTATAATTTATTGCGACTTCATGCTGGCTGTATTAAAAGAACCTACGATATATATATATATATTCAAAAAGTAACTATGGTTTTTTCTGACATTTCATGAATTTTATCTGCAATTATCAATATGGTTTTTTTATTGTTGTTCTAGGAGCTAAATTTAGAAAATACGTTGGCCATTCTGCACATGTTACTAATGTCCGTTGGTCGCATGACTTTCAGTGGGTAATAAGTACTGGAGGTGCAGATCACTCTGTTTTTCAGTGGCGGTTTATTCCAGAAGGTTTAACAAATGGAATCCATGAAACAGCACCCCAGGGTAATGCAAATAACATTTCTTTATTCGTTTGTTCGTTTGTTCGTTCAGTCACTGAATTATGTCCTTCACCATTATGGTCCCAGGATGGGTTATTACAGCAACATAATACACAGTTGTAGAACATAATACACAGTTGTAGAACACATAATACACAGTTGTAGAACAGCTACAGTTATAAAAACCAACAAACCGTTCCAACTTGAACTGAGCAGTATAGATTCAGCCAAAAGACATAGGCCCCTCAAAGCAAAATACCTTCACTTGCCTTGGGTGCTTTGGCCAAGCATTGAAAGAAGTTGCAATTGAAAATATAGCTTTGATTGATTGGATGGGTTTTCTTTCAATCATTATCCCCCAGAATACTTGAATCCAACATGTACATTGCCTTTTGCTTTCCTACAGGCCCATGTTCTCCTTGGGTGCAGTTTGCTCAAATAATACATGTACACAATGTTCGCTGTGCATCAGGGAATGTCCACATATTTCAATCAGTAACTTTTAGAAATCATTTCAAACTGCAGAGACCCACAGGAATATTTAGCTAGGACCAATGAAGAAAAGTTGGAATAGGAGACAAAGGGAGGTTTGAATTCGCTGGAGAACAGATGGGGAAACACTGTGTACACACAGCTTTCTAGTGTGTCACTAATGGATGTCAGTGGGAATCCTAGAGAGTTGTATGTGCACAGAGTAGAGAACAATATGAGCAGCTGGAGCTGTATTTGAACCTGCTCTACTGCAGCTGAATAGAAAAGCCAATTTTCAGTGAAGACCTGCATACTTCTGTAGAATTATGGCCATAATGGAAAAGAGAAATAAACTGAATATTCATGGAATTTTCTGAAGACTGAACACTGTGCTCTGCTTGCATCTTTGGTTAGGTTCAGTGTGCATGTTTCTACTGCCAAATAAGAAACAATTGTTTGAACAAAATAAAATGAATAAAATAAAATTATTCCTTCCAGTAGCACCTTAGAGACCAACTAAGTTAGTTATTGGTACGAGCTTTCGTGTGCATGCACATGTTTTTGTATTCATTATTTGCGGGGATGTGGCTTTCGTTTTAAATTGCCTTTATTAAAATGTCGTCTGGTGCATTCTCCCGTGTGCAGAAAGTGGCATAGATTCACACAGCGAAGAATCTGACTCCGATTTATCTGATGTGCCAGAGTTAGACTCAGATATAGAGCAAGAAGCTCAAATCAACTACACCCGACAGGTGAGCAATATGGAAACAGGCCATTAGACCCAGCAACCTGGAAACCCACCGAAACATATTCAGCGGAGGGATTTTAAAGTTGAAGGAAGGAAAAGTTAAGTGAAAGAACTGAGCTCGAGAGTTTAAATGAGAGACCACGTTGAATTTAAGGAAAGTTAAGGCTAAAAATATGAACTGGGGTATTTAAACTGTATTTGTACTCAGCTTTTTTATCCCGGCATTTTATATTATTATTATTATTATTTTATTTTCGTATAAAGATTTTCCATAGGTAACAAAAATACATTCAGTGTCTCTGTTTTTAAGTCCTAGCATCCTTCATACAAATGAATTGCAGCCAGTTGGAGACATTTTTGTTGGAGATAATGTGGGATTGAGGAGGGGAAAGAGAGAGGGGGGAGAAAGTAGAGAAATAGAAAGTTAGGAGGGGGAGACAGGAAGTTAAGAGGGGGCATTAAGCTTTCTTTCTTTGCATAATATATTAGTGGAGGTTTTTTTGTTGCCATTGTCATGTGGACAGCGGTCTTATTTTTAGCAAGAGGTCAGAGAGATGACATTGCGTGTTAATCATGGGACTGAACATTCCACCCCTTTAGATCAGTTAATTAGAAAACCTTTGAATGAGCAGGTGCAGCTCTTTCCAGATACTTCCTTTTAAAAAAAAAAAAGGTTGAAAAATATGCAGCTCTTCTACAAGTCTCTTACAGAATCACGCAAAGGGTTTTCAAACCCACCGCTCTCGTTAGCTGGTAAATCCAAAATTAATGTTAATTTATTGTCATAGATTCATCAAATTGTAGAGTTGGAAGGGACCCTGGGGTTCATCTAGTCCAACCCCTGCAATTCAGGAATTGTCCTTTAAATTAAAGGGCTACCAATAAAGCAAGGAATTATATGAAATAAAAATGATGAATAAATATGTAGGAATTGCATTTCATTTTCACTGAAGGGAAGAAGATTTGCATGAATTTCCTAAGATGCATTTGTTTAAGACATAAGTGGCCTTTCGTATGTTTTTGCCATAATGACCCTAAATGTCTTAATTTCCAATCTGTTTGTTGAAGCTAAAAGAAAAAGTATATTGCTTCAACAATTGCACCCTTTTCTGCATTTTTGTGAGTGTTTATTTATTATTTCCATTTATAAGCTGCCTTTCATTCTGTAGGATCCTAAGGCGCTAAATGTAGTGTACGCCATAAAGCAATAAACAATTAATTAAATCATCATTTAACTCACGTGGACTAATAAAAATATTGAAAGCAATTCAGCGCAGCAGCAGCAGCAGCATCTAAATGGTCGAGTTCATTTACAAATGCCTGTGTGAAATAATAGATGTTTTAAGTTAAAGGTAGTCTTCTCTCCATAAGCAGGTAATTCTGCAAATGGAGGGGCCCCCATAGAGAAGGCCCTGCCTTTGTCACTGCAGAATGCATCACACTCACCAAATGGACTGTGAGGCAGGCTTCCTCTGCAGATTGCTGGACCTGACCTTGCAGTTATGAGGAGATAACTCAGTCAGTAGAGCATGAGACTCTTAATCCAGTATACCTGAAGGAGGGTCTCCACCCCCATCGTCCAGCCCAGACACTGAGGTCCAGTGCCAAGGGGGCCTTCTTGCGGTTCCCTCGCTGCGAGAAGCCAAGTTACAGGGAACCAGGCAGAGGGCCTTCTCGGTAGTGGCACCTGCCCTGTGGAACGCCCTCCTACCAGATGTCAAAGAGAAGAACAACTACCAGACTTTTAGAAGACATCTGAAGGAAGCCCTGTTTAGGGAAGCTTTTAATGTTTAATAGATTATTGTATTTTAATATTCTGTTGGAAGCCGCCCAGAGTGGCTGGGGAAACCCAGCCAGATGGGCGGGGTATAAATAATAAATTATTATTATTATTATTATTATTATTATTATTATTATTATTATTAATCTGAGGGTCATGGGTTCGAGTCCCTTGTTGGGCAAAAGATTCCTGCATTGTAGGGGGTTGGACGGGATGACCCTCATGATCCCAACTCTGCAACTCTATGACCTGTGTTGTGACTTTTGCTTGGAGCGAGTCTTGGGCACAAGAGTTTGAAGTTCCTTCCTCCTCTTCCACAAGGGGGCTTTTTCTGTTCCCAACTTCCAATAGTAGTCCCACATACACCCTTGCCGAAAAGCATTGGCTGAAAGTTCAGGGGCACCCTAAACAGAAGTACCGTATGGGGATGGCGGTGGGGTGTTCAATCCAATGTTTCTCTAAGAATCAGTGTGCATAGCATTGTGCTAAGGGACTGTATCAGCTGTAACACAGATACTATTGGCTGCTGCCTGGAGGTATGACAGAGAATCGTGGGTGGGTGGGGGGTGATGATAGGAAACGAAGATGCAATGGCTTGGAGGGACAGCTGGAGAGTATATGTAGAGCTGTTATGGCTCAGAGGCCATCTATTAAGGAACAGGGTTGTAAGCAAGCAGTCGTGATTGATAGAAACAACTCGGACATGTAGTTTGCAGAGATTTCCAGTGCGTTAGAATCTTGCAGCTTCCCAAACGCAGGGAATTTTACACCCACACGGGAATCTTTGGAAGCTGTTTTGCAGCTGTCCACTGGATTAAACCGATGTCATAGTATCTGAGTTCCTAACCATCTCTTTAAAAGATTTGCATGCCTAATATCTGGTGTACCTGTTAGCAGTGTAAATCCATCTCCTAGTTCTTTCAGTGCTTACAAACTGCTTAAATCTCCTCTGTCATTTGCATATGTCACAAAAACTCCCTGAACGAAGGAAGGAAGGATCTACATATGTTTGGTTTTTTTTAATTTAAAAGAATTAAGATAGTGGGGCGGTGGGGAGGTGGGGAATCAAGTGTCACAGATAGACATAGACACATAGTTTTAAAACTTTTTTGTGCAGTAATCGAATGAGCTTGGCCTGATCTTCCATTACTGGTGCTTCTGATACATAGAATTCAGACTTCTCAAAGAGGCAGATTTTTGTCATGCATTGCAGGGTAGTGACATTGATCTTGCAAATTACTAGGCCCCGTAGTGGCACAAATAGCAATAAGCCACATGGATTATTGGACTGGGGATGTGTAATGCAATGTAACTCTCGATTATTTTAGGTTTACAAAGAAGATCTACCTCAACTGAAACAGCAAAGTAAAGAGAAAAACCACTCAGTGCCCTTCCTTAAAAGAGAGCGAGCTCCTGAGGACAGCTTAAAGCTACAATTTATACATGGGTATAATAACTTTTCAGTAGTGACTACTCTTGTCTTTTCGCTTTTATAGACTACAATTTACAGAAAAAGGTAATCTGTTCTTGGCAAAACCAGAAATAGCACCTAGATTTAGAGACTGTGTCTGAAGTTATCATGAAAACCAAGAAACACATTTAGGGAAATGGAGTTTTCTATTAGGGGCTTGCATTGTAGCTTTGCATTGTGCCTGCTTCCAAGTCACCAACACATCAGCCGTAGCTTATGTTAAGTGTGGACAACTGAAACCTGTAACAAAATGGTGCCGTATGGATTGCTCCTGTTCATGCTTTCCTAAAGGAGACGTCATTCCATTTACCGTATTTTTCGCTCTATAAGACACACCAGACCACAAGACGCACCTAGTTTTTGGAGGAGGAAAACAAGAAAAACTATATTCTGAATCTCAGAAGCCAGAACAGCAAGAGGGATCGCTGCACAGTGAAAGCAGCAATCCCTCTTGCTGTTCTGGCTTCTGGGATAGCTGCGCAGCCTGCATTCACTCCATAAGACGCACACACATTTCCCCTGAATTTTTAGGAGGGGAAAAAGTGAGTCTTATAGAGCAAAAAATATGGTATATATGTATTACATTCCTATACCACCTCTCCTCCCAAGGAGCTAAAGGTGGTGTACATGGTTCACCTCCTCCCCAGTTCATCCTCACAACAGTTCTGTGAGGTTGGGTAGGCTAAGAAATAGTGGCTGGTCCAAGGTCACCCAGTGAGTTTCATGGCTGAGTGGGGATTTGTACCCTGGTCTCCCAGGTCATAGTTCAACACTCCAACCATTATACCACACTGGCTCTCATTTCCTTTTCCACCCACCTCGCTGGCTCTCATTTCCTTTGCCTCGCTGGCTCTCATTTCCTTTTCCACCCACCTTGCAACAACCAGTGTTCCACGTCCGCTTAACGTGCTCCATCTGTGAGCTGTTTTAGCAGCTGACCCTCCCTCCCTCGGAGGGCAATTCTAAGCAAAAGTATTGTTTGTGTTTATGCAGACCTTGGGGTTCCCCCAAGCCGTACGCTACCTCTCTCTTGTGCACAGATGGTGCTGTCTAGGCTACCGAAGGAACAGTATTCAAAAAAATTGAGTTCACCATAGGAAATGCAACGTTGCACGGAAATGGGTAACTGCTTCCCACAGGCAGCAGTGTCCAAGGCATAGCTGTCAATGTTTCCCCTTTTTTAAGGGAAATTCCCTTATTCTGAATAGGATTCCTCGCAAGAAAAGGGAAAAATTGACAGCTATGGTCCAAGGACCAGTCCACCCATTTGCTTTAACATACGGAGAAAGGTGGAGATGAACCCTTCCCATTTCCTTTTCCATCTTCACGTCAACGTTGGCTTTCAGAGTTATTTTCTGGATCAGTAATAATTTTGACTGTCTGGAACTCTTGGCTGGACTGGCTGTAGCTTAACACGGCGATGTTTTGCATAAAAATGGAAGTCGTGCAGGCTTTTTGCTGGGCACCACTGTAGAAATGAATTCCTTTGAAAATATCCATTAATATCAGTTCATCCGCACGCAGGACTGTCCAATGAAACCCGTTTGAGCATGTCTTGAAAACTCAGATTTAGTTCAGGATTTAAGGTGAAACTGGAAGACAACTTGGTTGTAGACTGTGAATGAAACCAGCTGCCTGGTTCTAAGTAGCTAGCTTGTGACATTTTTGTCCATCCCAGGAAAATACCACACAGCATTATTCTTAATCCACATCTTCTCATATTGAATCTGTATCCTAAATACATTACTTAGAAATGGAGTCTGATTGATTTCATCAAAATCTGAAGGCACTTAGGATCATAGCACAATATCCTTTTGCTTCGACAGTTTGCAGGCCACTTTGCTAAAATGTTCACCTTTTGCTGTTTTTCATTCATCCCAGTTACAGAGGCTATGACTGCCGAAACAATTTGTTCTACACACAGACTGGGGAGGTGGTATACCACATTGCTGCTGTTGCTGTTGTTTACAATAGACTGCAACACACCCAAAGACTATATCTCGGTCACGATGATGATATCCTCAGTCTAGCCATCCATCCTCTGAAAGACTATGTTGCTACTGGACAGGTAAGATTTTGGAGAAACAATGCTTGCCAATTCAATGGAAATTTATTATTACGATCATTGTTGTTGTTGTTGTTTACTTATTGTTGCACTTTGTTTTTGTAAAATTCAAATATCATACCAACCTTAGGAATGGTGTTATTTAGTGTATTGCAATGCTCACTGGAAGGACAGATCATGAAGCTGAAGCTCCAGTACTTTGGCTACCTCATGAGAAGAGAAGACTCCCTGGAGAAGACACTGATGCTGGGAAAGATGGAGGGCACAAGGAGAAGGGGGGCGACAGAGGACGAGATGGTTGGATAGTGTTTTCGAGGTTACCAGCATGAGTTTGACCAAACTGCGGGAGGCAGTGGAGGACAGAGGTGCCTGGCGTGCTCTGGTCCATGGGGTCACGAAGAGTCGGACACGACTAAACGACTAAACAACAACAACAGTGTATTGCAAATGGGACCTACAAGAAAATGTTGCATTGGTTTCTCCTCACACCTTAACAGGTCTGCTGCTGTTCACCCAGCCTTCCTGTGAGATATGATAAGCTGTAAGAGGCTCAAGCAACCTAGCAGTTCGAAAGCACCCCGGGTGCAAGTAGATAAATAGGGACCGCTTACCAGCGGGAAGGTAAACGGTGTTCCGTGTGCTGCGCTGGCTCGCCAGATGCAGCTTGTCATGCTGGTCACGTGACCCGGAAGTGTCTGCGAACAGCGCTGGCTCCTGGCCTATAGAGTGAGATGAGCGCACAACCCTAGAGTCTGGCAAGACTGGCCAGTACGGGCAGGGGTACCTTTACCTTTTAAGAGGCTCAAGCAAGCCAATTCATTACCATCCTCAGTTTTCCAGCGGTAACTCAACATTCTACCATTCTTGGAGGCCGCTGAGCATGCTCAGTCCTTGTTTGGCCAGTTTGAGTTTGCGGGGGCCTGTTATTTTGGGAGCTCCTTCAGACTTTTATTTTAAAATGTTTCTTTTGCAAAACTTGGAGTTATCCAGACATGCTGATACCTCCCCTTTGTTTCTCTGCTTGGCTCCAATCCTGTTGGCATGGGGTACTGTTTGCTTCTAGAAGGAGTTATTATTGCAGCTACTATTTTAGTTTTCCATTTCTGAGTGTACATTTTAGGGAGGGATATTAAGGTAGTCTGCATAACTATCAGCATAATGGTTTCATTGGGATGTCCATGTTCAAACATCCCTATGGCCAAAATGTGGGGGGCGGGGGTGCAAGGAAGACAAAGTTAAATGTTGCCTCTGCTGATAGTAAGGAACCCGTATCCTTGCAGAAAAATAGGAGAGCATCTCCCCAACAGAAGGCAGGATGCGGGCATCAAACCATAAAATACACCTAAGTTACAGGGAATGTATACCATTTATAGTATAGATCAGAAGGTTGGCGGTTCAAATCCCTGCAATGGGGTGAGCTCCTGTTGCTCGGTCCCTGCTCCTGCCAACCTAGCAGTTCGAAAGCACGTCAAAAGTGCAAGTAGATAAATAGGTACCACTCCGGCAGGAAGGTAAACGGCGTTTCCGTGCGCTGCTCTGGTTTGCCAGAAGTGACTTAGTCATGCTGGCCACATGACCCGGAAGCTGTATGCCGGCTCCCTCGGCCACTAAAGCGAGATGAGCTCCACAACCCCAGAGTCGGCCACGTCGGTCGCTTTACCTTTAGCCAACGATATGGGGAGCAGTGAGGTTTACTGGCAGCGATATTTATACATCCTGATAAGCAGCAATAACTAAGGTTTCAGGAGGTCAGATGTCCCGCTATTGCTGCAGCATCAAGAAAGGAAAATATAGGATAAAGTTTAAAATAAAACAGAGTTCCAGTTTGGGGAATGTTAGACTCCAGTGATGGCTAGACATCCAAGGGTATAAATCAGAGAAACGTGGTTTTTTTAAAAAAATAGTTTGGCTAGAGGGAACCAAGTAGGAATGAAGACGATGATACATGTATGAATCATCAGTGTGATAGCGCTGGTCAAAGGATCACCCCGAAATAGAATGCAGGAAGGAGAAGAGAAATGCTTGAAGGCTTAAAGCTCAGTGGAGCAATCCCCAAAAGTCAAACAGGAGAAAGGCAAAGTACTGGAGAGGCTGCTAAGAGTGACAGGAGGGAAAACAGAAGAGGATAGGGAGGGCAAACTGAAGATGACCTCAAGGGAAAGGTTGCAGTCTGTTGTTATCCAAATGCCAGCTGGTAAAAAGGGTCTTGGAGGAACAGGAAGCGTGAAGGTAAGTTTGTGTCAGGAGACCCCTTGACCCCAGAGGGTGCCCACGGAGAAGGAATTGAATGGGAGAGCCAATAACTAGGTGCTCCATGGATATATTTTGTACTTGAGGGACGTAGTGAAACTGAGGAGAAGAATGCAAGGATGACAGCTATGAAAATGGAAGTAAGATTCTGAACAACGGATCGTGGCCAAGTCTAGATGACAATACGGGCAGGAAGCCTCTTGTCAGCACCTGAGATATCAAAGTAAACCGCACTTAAGAGACATCTGGTTGAGAAAACTAGGAAGTTGTCCTGGTTGGAGCATGTGGTGGGTGGAAATTATTACTGTCAAGTTTTTTGTTTACGCACAGCCGCTCACACCAGGTGTTCTGATTTAGGTTGGGAGAGATGCCGCCATTCACGTGTGGGACACTCAGGCACTCAAATGTTTGTCGCTGCTAAGAGGCCAACACCAAAGAGGCGTCTGTGCCCTTGATTTTTCAGGTAAGCAGCTATCTACTTTCAACTAGGGTCTCATGGATCCATTAGTTTTGGTTGCTGTCCGTTTCTGGTTTTTCTCTCCAATATTAGTATTGCCACATTTCCTTATCAGTTTCCAAATAAATAGGTTCAGTTCCCACTTTGGAGCAGCTCATGAGTGCGTAAACCTTAAAGCAAGTTCTTATGTCACTGTTCTTTCCCTTTCTTCATAACAGTATTTCTCAATAAGCCTAGCAACAGTGGAATTTACAGAGGGATGTTCCTAATGGATGCTGTGTACAAACCATCCTTAATATGCCTTATATTGTATCAGACTTTAAGCTGGCAGGCCAGGCCTGCTCCTCTTTTAATTTTTGTAGGGTGCCTAGTTGTGGGAATTATGTGTTGTATGAAAAATAAATAGCACTCCTAAAATACTACCTGTTTCGCACTGTTATTGATGTGTTGCGCTTGTTGCAAGTTTCTCACAATCTATACTTCAAAATGTGGTCCCGTCCCCACCAAGAATGTATTTTGACTGCCGGGGAAACATTTGATTTGAGAGCAAATCCCATTAGCAACAGCCTCTCCGCATGGGGCTGTGCCGCTAGATATTTTGTAAGTTTTGTGGGAGATTATACCCCTTGCCTGAATCTGCTCAGCAACTGCTGATCTGATTCACAGTAGCTACCTCCTAAGTCTGCTTTCCTCCCTGATGAGTTCAGTAAGCGCTCAGTGGAGCACATGCCACGATAGCCTTCTCCCCTTTGTTTGCAAGCCACATGTTCTGTTGGCCAGGAACCACCACCTCAGGCTGGATTGACAGTGTCAAGAGTTCAGTGAAATCAGGCTAGTTTTGATTTATGCCGGTGTTGGGTTGGAGGTTCTCCTTCCACTGAACACTGTTGAAACTAAGCAGATGTTGGTGCTGCTGGTGGCTAGAGAGGCTGCACTATGCTCTTCTTTGCTTTCCTTGAGAGTACAGGCATACCTCAGAGATATTGTGGGTTCGGTTCCAGACCATTGCAGTAAAGCGAATCCAGTGGACTCTTGGAGTTGCGAACGTGATCTGTGAGGGATGCATGTTCACAACCCGCAGCGTTCGCAACCCACAGTGGCGCGTCTGTGCACATGCCGGGTTGCAATTTGGCGCTTCTACGCATGTGCAACCGCCAAAACCCGGAAGTAACCTGTTCTGGTACTTCCGGGTTTCGGCGGGTCCGTAACTTGAAAAAATGCAACCTGAAGCGTCTGTAACCCGAGGTATGATTGTACAGTGCTACCTCGGGTTACAGACGCTTCAGGTTGCAGACGGACCTCCAGAACGAATTAAGTTCTTAACCCGAAGGTACCACTGTATTGCAATAACGCGAGTCACACAGTTTTAGGGGTTTCCCAGTGCATATAAACCAGGGGTCAGGAAACTTTTTCAGGGGACTGGTCCACTGTCCCTCAGACCTTGTGGGGGGCTGGACTATATTTTTGGGGGGAAAGAGAACGAATTCCTATGCCCCACAAATAACCCAGAGACGCATTTTAAATAAAAGCCACACATTCTACTCATGTAAAAACACACTGATTCCCGGACCGTCCACGGGCCAGATTGAAAAGGCGATTGGGCCGGATCCGGCCCTCAGGCCTTAGTTTGCCTACCCATGATATAAACGTTACATTTATATTATAGTGTAGTCTAGTGAGCTGCAAGCAAGGAGAGGGTAAACTTGGCTCCAGCCCAAGCCAGCTGCACTCCCATGGCAGAAGAGGGGTAGGGTGTGGGACTTCCTTCCCCTGGAAGCGCCTAGGCTTGCTGCAGCTGCAGCTTTGTTAAGGCGCATATCTGTGAAGCGCAGTGCAATAAAATGAGGTGTGCCTTAGTAGTGGGCCTTATCGTTCCTGTGAAAGAAGGAATACGGTGTTTCTGTCATGTATTCTACTCAGCGTTGATCCAGAGCAGAACTCGAACGTATAGTTAGCAGAGTGAAAACTTAAACACGTTGCAAGACTCCCCGAAAAAATAGGACCAGAGGCAATTATTGTAATCCAGCCAAGGAGCCTTTGCTGATCCGAAGGCAAATGACTATCATGGTCATCAAATCCAATTACATTCAGTGGATTGGCACTGTCCATAAAGAATCCCAGTTGCAGCCAGACTAAACTACAATAACTCATAAAAAGGACTAAACCTTAACACTATATTCAGAACACCACACCAGAAGGAAGAGAGATAGAAAGAGTGAAACCCAGGCTCCTTCTGGCCTTATTATTATAGTCGGCATGACCTTGACAGAAGAGATAAGAGAACCAGCTTAAGCCTGCTGTACTCAGCTTCTCTGAATGAATAACCTAAACATCAGGAACCTTCTGCTTGTTTCTTTCACACACAGCAGCTTCCAGAACCCTCTTGAATTAATTAGAATAGGAAAGATTTCTACACATCAGATCAATACTTTCTGTACTAAGAAATGCAAACTGACAGTTTCTCCTTATTTTAATTCGCCTCTTGATACTTTTCTCAGTAACTTCTGGTGATACTGGGGAGAGGTATGGCAGAGAGCTAGATAGTGATGTGGGTTTCATATAATAAGCTACGAAAAGTTTAGGAACCTGATAGGTTGACCTGTACACGCTGTGACTGACAATGCAACAGTTAGCAGAAAATTTGCTCCTGTACCCCAGTGAAAAATTATGTTTATTGCGAAGCATCCAGCTGCATCACTATTAGTACCTTTACTTTAAATTTGCAATAAATAAATGCAGCATTTGTCAGATTTCTGTTAAGGTTCTCACCTCTGATGTTGTGCAGCTGATGGAAAATGTCTGGCGTCTATTGGGTTAGATGACAATCATACCATCGTACTCTGGGACTGGAAAAAAGGAGAAAAGATGGCAGCAACCAGGTAAGAACGTTGTCACGCAGGCATGCTCTCTAACAGCTTGAGTTGCATGCATATATTTTTTTCAGGTCCAAAATTTAGGATGCTGTTTTAAGAGATTAAAATACCACCTTCCTCCCATACCTTAAACCTGTATGTTTAGTCAAGAGAGAGAGAGCAAGATTGTGATTTTCATCAATGCCCACCTTCTCACATGCCAGATTTCTATGCATTGATTAGAGCAGAGATTTCCAAACTGTGTGTCGCGACATGTAAGTGTGTCGGCTGCAGTGTGTAAGTGTGTCACACGAATGCTACCCATGCTCCTCGTGGGCTGGAAAGAGGTTAGTTTAACATCTGGTTTGCTAGTAAAACTGAATTACTGTGTTGCGTAATGATGCATGCCTAAAAAATGTGAGACCAATATGAAAAGTTCTGTGATTGCTGCACTTGATGCCCTGTTCACACCAAGAAAATATGTAGACTTAATTCATGGAGGGGTATTTAATCTTGAATGACATATTGATTGTTTTACCCATCGACACCTGCATGTTCACCAGTATTCCACCTATGTTGTTTATTCCAGATGTTGCTGCTTTGTCCTAACTAGCATAGGAGGTACATCTTGTTGTTTTGTTTTGCTGTATTCCCTAACATTAATGATGGTAATAACATTTTCAGCCTTATACAGTGGTGCCTCGCAAGACGAAATTAATTCGTTCCGCGAGTTTTGTCGTCTTGCGATTTTTTTCGTCTTGCGAAGCACGGTGTCGGAAAAGTTTCGGAAAAGCTTCAAAATCACCAAAGTCTTCAAAACCCAAAAAAGGCTACCAGACCCGTGCTATGAGTTGCTCCTTGAAGTCAAGTCGCAACTGTATTAACGGTGTTAAGAAAAAGGAAACAAACTTGCAAGACGTTTCCGTCTTGCGAAGCAAGCCCATAGGGAAAATCATCTTGCGAAGCAGCTCAAAAAACAAAAAACCCTTTCGTCTTGCGGGTTTTTTGTCTTGCGAGGCATTCGTCTTGCGAGGTACCACTGTATTATTATTATTATTATTATATTATTATTATTAATTTACACTACTACTTACTACACTACTGTATTAATATACCACCCTATACCTGGGATCTCAGGGCAGTTCACAGAATAAATCAAGATATAAAACTGCAAAATACATAATAAAAAAAAAACAACAACCCAGTTACCCCCTTATAGCTTACATTCTTGGTTCCCCCCCCCCATTCTTGCGTAAGTTTATGATGAATGGGGGGGTCGTTATGTGAATGGAGGAAACAATTCCACCTGTTCTGCCAAAGCAAAATGTTACTTTATGCTCTTCTATGCCTTTATTCTGCAGTGTTTGCAACAAATGACCTATAGCTGCCCTCTGTGGGGACAGCAGTGTGGTTGGAGGGGAGATAGTTTCTCCGCCTGAACCCCCCCTTGCAGTTTTGGTGGTAGAATATAAATAGATTCCAAGTCTGGTAATGTCAGACAACCTCTTCTGGGCCCATTCCATCTTCCCCATCTCAAATTGGAATACATATTTTTTAAATTTTCCATTTGTTGCCTGGGAGTTTATCTGTTAACCTCACAGGGGCTAAGAAGCTTTTGTGATTGCCTGAACGCTCGAAGTTTTCGGGAACAGTTTGGTCACTTTATCTAATTGGTTCTCTAATGGATGTTCTCATTCCACTATTATTAGAAGCTTCCCTTTTTATAAATAAGGACTGCGCCCAGGCAAATCTGGATCTCAATGATTCTTCAATGCAGTACACTTGCTTTGTCTATTATTAAACAGTAGTAGGGTGTGTGTTTTATCTCAGTATAAAGTATTTGGCTGAAATCTTGCATATAGTTGAACTGTGTTACATGCTGGTTCAAAACCCCCAAAACATCTGAGCTGGAGTCCTCTTTGCCCTCCAACCAACAGCGAGGGCTGGGTGGGTTTTGAAACGCACCCAGCCCCCCTGTTGATAGACAAGACATCAGAGTTCATTCAAATGGCAGAGCGTTGACATCCCATTCGGTTAATCTGCTGCATCAATGTGTCTTCTGCAAAGTTAGAATCCCCTTTGAATTTAAGTTTAGTTTTTTGAGCCATTACTTTAAATACACCTCCAGGACCATGCAGAACCCAGAGGGGGTGAATTCTCTTAACTTTTTTACAATGAAAGCTACATTTCTCAAGCATGAGCTGCCGTATCCCATTGCAAAGATGGGAAGGCAGAGCCTTTCAGCTCTTCTCCTCCCCGTACAACTACCAGCCTAATAACTTCTTGCAAATATTCTAGCAGGATTGTGATGATTTAAAACTTTGTGGGGCAAATCCCAGGACCCACTGAAATAACTAACATGAATTAATCAAAATCTATATTTCATGCCTTATTTCTGTTGGCTTTAACTGTTCTTTGAAATATTGTGTTAATTTTTGCCCTTCTAATTATCCATCTAATGTGCTGCAATTACTTATCACGGATCTTCCAGTCCTCCTTCTGAGACTGCTTAAATATTAATAGCAACTTGCTTATCGCCTAGCGGTTTAAATGGTGCTCTTTATAGCTCTCTTAATTAATTTGACCTGTGTCCCTTTCCCTCTGTTATCTTGAATACATTGAAGCACAGCTGTGTGGGGTTTTTTTTACCCCCTTATGAATTACTTTGCCAACACTTTCCTGAAAACTGCTCTCCATATGAAATAGAGTCTCCTCAAAATGGAGAAGATTTGCTGAATAAGAATTATGTAGCATTGTTTCATTTGGTCAGATCCAGTTACTTTCCTGTTAGACTGATATACAGGTGACGTCCGTAATAGTCTGGAGCAGCCTTTCTCAACCTGTGGGTCCCCAGATGTTGTTGAACTACAACTCCCATCACTCCTAGCTAGCAAGGCCAGAGCTCAGGGATGATGGGAGCTGTAGTCCAACAACATCTGGGGACCCACAAGTTGAGAACCACTGGGGAGGCTGAGTGGGATTATGATATTTTGTAGCTCTCACTTCTCAGCCTTTTGGCTAAGATCAAGTGTAGCATCTTGTAGCCACTGATGGACTGAAGCATAAGTGCTACCTCTCATGTTGTTTTTGCTGAGTTGTGACCTCTCCGGGGCACAAGTCTGGGCAATGGTTATGGAGGTCCTGAGCTGGCCAGACGACAAGACCTCCCCCCCGGTCTTTCTGATGTGGTCCAAAGGAAAGCAGAGCAATACATCTGACACCATATTGGCTGCAGGAGTTGCCAGAAGGATGTGTACAAGGAGCCATCCAGGGGGGGAATATGTGTAGGGTTTACTCCTTAGCATTTTCTTCTCCTGAAGATAGCCCTCAAGTTTAGGATCAGAGTTTTCCTTCTCCAATATGGGCTGCCTTCCTCAAGAAATTGTTGTGAATCATGTTGAAACGACTTCCTGTAGTGTCTGCCTACTAAACGAAGGATCCATACAGTACAACTCCAATAAATGTCCCCATTCCTGTTGTTTCTGTTCCTGTTCATTCATACTATTATTTCTATGATTTTGGGGGGTATGCTATTATCTCATGAAACAGTGAATACATAATTGACTGGACCCACAATGAGCTTCATTGAGCTCTGCTGATCAGTTTAAAATACTGATCCTTTTTTTTTTTACCAGTCACCTTCACAAACTATGGGAACGAAAAGAGAGCTTTAACTTTGACTGAAGCCGTTATGGGTAACTCCAGTTTGTTCCCTGTTCCCTTTTCTTCATTTAAATTAAAACACTTCTATACTGCCTTTCGTGTTTGTTTTGTTTTTTTTAAATCCAGAATTCACAAAAGTATCAAAACAGATTCAATAAAATTGGCATTAAAACAAAAGTACAGGAACTAGGAAAGTTTTACAAAGGCTGGATATCAATGACCAGAAATCCTTGGCCAAACATGTATGTTTTTAGCAAGTGTTGAAAACACACTGCAACTGGCAGTTTTTCATGGACTAAAGGTAATTTAGCAGTTTAAGAGAATTATCAGAACTGGAGGAATTATAAGAGGAGTGAAACTTACCAATATGTATTTATATGAATCCTGTAGAGCAGGCTTCCTCAACCTCGGCCCTCCAGATGTTTTGAGACTTCAATTCCCATCATCCCTGACCACTGGTCCTGCCAGCTAGGGATCATGGGAGTTGTAGGCCAAAAACATCTGGAGGGCTGAGGCTGAGGAAGCCTGCTGTAGAGTAACGCTTGTTTTGGCAGACATCTGCTTCCTTCCATCGCTTGCTGCATGAACTGGATTCAGCAATATTTAATATGTCATGGATCATATTGATCATATTGAGATGGATCTGTGTTCACTCTGCAGGCTGCGCTAACTTCTCAGAGGATGTTAGAACTCCATTCAGTCATAGCAGATAAAACCAAAATGGCTTGTCAGAGGGACTTAATTCAGACTTTTCCAGACTCTAACCTCGCTTCCAGATGACCTGTTTTTTGACTATTCATCCTGATTCATTGCAAAAAGTTTGCAGGGAGTTTGTGTGACATCTGCTGTTTTTTGAGCATTCATTCTGATCTATGCAATTTTGCATCAAGTGATTGGTATTCCATATGTTCCCCATCTCTTTCCTTGCTGTGAAAAAATGGAGGGGGGGAACAGGTTTGTTGCACAAGAGCACCAAAATAGTGCAAAATAGTGACAGTTTCAAGCACCTTAAGGATACAAGAACCCTTTTCATATACTGTATGATTTTAAATCTTTCTGTTTCGATCGGCAATAATAGGGATGTAAACCTACAGCAACCAGAATGTATACTAAATTTCTCTTCAACGACTGTCTTGCAGTAGCAACACATAGTACACCTGTTCAGTTGTGTCCTTTTGTTGTAAAACAGGTCTGCTGCTGTCACAACTCGTTAAATTCTTAAGGCTTGCTTATAGATCAATAAATCCCCATCCAACTCATCTTTCTAATTTCTAAAAATGTATGCCAAAGCAGTGCCTTTTTTTTGGCATGCACCAAAATCTTTAAAAAAAAAAAGATGGGTAGACAACTCATGTATTCATTACTCTTTAATTCATTGCAGAGGCCATAAAGACAAGATATTTGTAGTGAAATGCAACCCTCACCATGCTGATAAACTGGTAACCGTTGGAATGAAACACCTCAAATTCTGGCAGCAAGCAGGTATGGTGTTGCATTAAGAATGTTTAATGGTTATTGTATTTGTATTTGTTTAAGAACAAATAAAAATTAGTTTAAAAAGAAAGGAATGTAAGTTATTTCTTCCCATTGGGCAATTCCATGCTGTTCACAAGTCTGAGCCTTTCTCTTGACCTACCTCTGCTGGAAGTCATTCCTTTAGTCACACCCAGGATGTGAGCTGGTGTGCCCCTACACAACAGATTCCCAGTTAAGTTCCTCTGATAGCCAAAGCAGTTTTTCAAACCACCATACTCAAGGGTTGTTGGCGCTCGTTGTGTGAACTGGTGTCAACAGTGTGCAGGGCTCTCAATTTTGTCAACTAAGGAATATCTGAAAGTACAGTGGTACCTCGGGTTACAGACGCTTCAGGTTGCAGATGCTTCAGCTTACAGACTCCGCTAACCCAGAAATAGTACCAAAGGTTAAGAACTTTGCTTCAGGATGAGAACAGAATCACACAGCAGCAGCGGGAGGCCCCATTAGCTAAAGTGGTACCTCAGGTTAAGAACAGTTTCAGGTTAAGAACAGACCTCCAGAACGAATTAAGTTCTTAACCCGAGGTACCACTGTACCTTCATAGGGTGTAACAGGGCAGGAGCCATCATAAGCAGAAGAAGAAGAAGAAGAGAAGAAGAAGAAGAAGAAGAAGAAGAAGAGAAGAGGAGGAGTTTGGATTTGATATCCCGCCTTTCACTCCCTTTAAGGAGTCTCAAAGCTGCTCACAATCTCCTTTCCCTTCCTCCCCCACAACAAACACTCTGTGAGGTGAGTGGGGCTGAGAGACTCCAAAGAAGTGTGACTGGTCCAAGGTCACCCAGCAGCTGCATGTGGAGGAACGGGGAAGCGAACCCGGTTCACCAGATTACGAGTCCACCGCTCTTAACCACTACACCACACTGGCCGTTCATCTCTCTCTCTCTCTCTCTCTCTCTCTCTCTCTCTCACACACACACACACACTTATAATAATGTGTGTTGCTCTGTCATCACAATTCAGGTGGTGGTTTCACCTCCAAGCGTGGCATCTTTGGAAATATCGGGAAGCAGGAAACCATGATGAGTGTTTCGTACGGGCGAATAGAGGACCTTGTTTTCTCTGGATCTGCCACAGGAGACATTTACATCTGGAAAGATATTTTGCTGCTTAAGACGGTGAAAGCTCACGATGGGCCTGTATTTGCCATGCACGCCTTAGATAAGGTATGTGTGCCTTGCGTCACCACCAGATATTCTTTGTTTGGCTTCGGAATTTCAAATCCAGAGCCACGTACCTATCTCATTTCATATACCTATCTCGTTTCAAGCCCACCCCATGCACACACAAAACAGACACAATTTCACTTTGGCATC